TTTATGGACATAAAATTTGAATTTAATATAATTTTAACATTTCAGAAAATATTCTTTTTTATTTTTTTCAAATTTTTAAAAGTATAAAGACCATTTTTAACTCCTGGGCTGTGTAAAAACAGGCAGTAGACATAGTTTGCCAACTCTTGGCCTAAAGGTTTTGAGTTATTTTCTTACTGGCCTGCGTTTCTCTATTTATCTCTCTTTTAAATTGTCTTCCACATTGTTCTAGAGATATTTTCTTAGAACACAAATGTGATCTTGTCATCTTGCATGACAGACTCAGGGAACTGAGCAGGAGCTGTTCAGGCTGGGTGAGAGGGTACAGGTAAGACCCTGTAGGCCAGAAGGGTGGGGAATGCCCTGCAGACAGAAACTAGCATGGTGTGTACCAGAAACTGTCAGCTGCTGGAAGTGCTCATTGTGTGTGGCTCTGGGCTAGAGATGAGGTGTGAAAGTTGGCCTGGACTTACTGCTGAAAGGCTTTTATGCTATGTTAAGGAAATTGGACTTTATATATACATTTTTGCTGGTGAGTTGCTGTTTAAGAATTTTTGGAAAGGAATCACATGGCCATTTTTTCATTAAAAAAAACCAAAACATTAACCCTTAGCAATTAAGGTTTTGAAAAACCATCATTTTAGTACCTTCACTTTCAGTGGAAAGGAAAGCAAAATCTAAACTACAATAGGTTAAATAATAAAGGATGGGTGAATTTCATATGGAAAAACAATCAGTTCAATTTGCAGCCCTAAACACACAGACACACACATGCGTGCGCGCGCGCGCACACACACACACACACACACACACACATAGATGTGAATGTGCAAATACTTGTCCAAATAAATATGCTTATAGTACTAGAGAAGTACTATAATGTGGTATGAACACAGGCGCTGGGATCAGGACAGAAGTTCCACTTTTTGCTTCACATTTACCACCTACTTAGGATGGGTCACTTAGTCAATTATTTAACCTTGACTTCTATAACTAATAACAAGACAATTAAACTTGATGACAGCTTTGTACAGTCTCTACCAATATCTGCATGTTATCGATTTACAGTAGATTAATATGTTTATGACTTCTATTATACCTTCGTACGAGTCATTTTTTCATATTTTGATTTTTCAGTAGAAAGATACTTTTGTCACTATGGAACATTTTTTACCTATTGGATATTGCCAGTAGAAGTGGAGCCTAATCATTATGTTACATGCTTCTAATCCTGTTTTTTAATCCTTTGTTCAATTTTAGCCTTGGATCAACTGTGCAGTTTTCTTGTGATGAAGATTATGTCCTACAGGGCGCTAAGAGCATCACCTGTCAACGGATAGCTGAAGTCTTTGCTGCTTGGAGTGATCACAGACCTGTATGTAAAGGTAAAGAAAAGCCCTTAAAATAAAAATGCTCTCTTAACACATTTTAATGGTCTGAACTTTGTTCTATTGAGTATAACTTTTAGTGAAATCTTTGAGGAGTAATGCAGTCTTTAAGGAAACATTGAGTTCATATATTTAACAATATTTATTGAAAATCTGTAATATGTGAACTGTGTTATGTTCCCAAGGAGTTCCCAATCTAATAATCACATAGCAACAAATCGGAACATAAAATATGTAATGCAAGGCACTGGTGATTTTGTAGGCCTTTTTTAAAATCACAAATTACCCTGCATAAGCATTGATATGGATGATAGGGATGTTTTTTAAACCATAATACTACCTCCATTTCTATGACTTGCCATTTTAATTGCTTATGTATCCAGTAGTAATGATGTGGGTGGCAGTGGATATATAGTTAGTTAATTTAAACTAAGGTTCTATAGTTAGTTAATTTAAACTAAGACAAATCAATGAGTGCCGTAGTTTTCATATTACCCGTGACTGCAGATAAAACTTACTCCCACCACTTTCTACCAACTAATTATTTAAATTAAATTATATGAGGACTCTTTTTTCTAAACTTTATTAAACTGTTTAAAAATGAACAGCTCATCCTAGCCTGCTGGCATTCTTGATTACTTGTTTGTTGTTATTTGTAATAATGGCGTTTCTGCATATTTCAGTGTCTTAGTACTCAAAATTCTGTTAGCTCTTCTTTCTCAGAGAACATTTTTACAGATCACCACACCCTGTAGATTTCTCTCAGAGAGAATGAGGGTGGTATTAGAGGAATAAAGAAGGGACAGATTTGAGAGCTTCTATAAAGGGAAAAAGACAAAATATTTGACAGCTAGCTAGATATGGAAGGAGAAGCTTATAAGATACAGTCAAAGATGAATGTTCAAGTACATGAAACTAGAAAAATCTTATGTTGTTAAAAGTGAAGATACTGAGAAATAGAGTTCTGTAGGAGACGAGCCATCATCGCTATAACATTGTCAGCATTGGCACCATTTTTCAGGCACTTACTATGTGCCAGCACTTGCGCTAACCACAGCATAGTCGCCATCTCATTTAATGCTCCAAACAAACCAATGGAGGCATTTTCGTCTCCATTTTAGAAATGAGGAATATAAGGCATAGAAAGATCGAGTCACTTTCTCAAGCTCAAATACCTGAAAATGGCAAAGTGCTTCATAAGACTATCCATAGACTAGAGAGAGGGAAGAGGGGACAGATTTCAGAGCATTAAGGAGAGAGTGGAAAATGATAAAATGGAAGCAACGGATATATTCCAGTCTCTTGGCAATGACAACCAAAAGTAAGAAAAAGACATAATCTAGATTTTTCTCAGATTCAAATAAAACTCCTGACACAGATAGATGCTTATTCATTACCCTTCTTTTCAAAGGCTTACAAAATGAGATAAAAATAGCATTAAAAATTCGTAAACAGTGAAATGGGAATAATGAAAAAATAAGGTAAAATAGTAACAGGATCCTAAACAAAACTTAAGTATAAGTTGGTAAACAACTTTTAAGAATGGCTTACATATTAGACTTAATATGACAGCAACCAAACTAATAGGGAAACTTGATTAGTGTACACAAAAACCATTGTATATGACACAACAAAAGCAAACTTTTTCCTGACATTGAGGTCGTAAATATTTTGCATTGTTCTTTATAAGGGGGGCATTGAGGTCGTAAATATTTTGCATTGTTCTTCATAAGGGGGGCATTGTGTAATAAGTATCATGAGAGTTACTGTCATCAATATCCCGACAATTATTAGAACAGTAAACTGTATAAGGTTGATTTTTTTTTATAGTGTTCTCCACTCAAGATAAGTTATAGTTATAAGAGACATTATAGGGAAAAGCATGTTTTCAAAATGATATCCTGCTTCAGTTTTACATAAATTAGATGTGTGCATTTTTCAGTGGCAAAATAGAATGGGAAGATAGAGGATAGATTCAAGAAAAAGAGATTAATGTTAATGCAAAAACAAAATCTCACACAAGAAAAGTTATAGCTAGATCATGGAGTTTAAGTTCTATGTAAAATAAGATTGAGACTATAAACCATTTTTTTCATTTAAGACTCTCATTTCAATAAAAGGAATGAATCATTTATAAAGATCATAAATTGTTCAAAGGCAGAAATAATGTGACATTATTTTATTTTTCATAAACCCTGTAGCACAAAGAACCGTTCTGTACTGACTTGAATCTCAAGAAATATTTGTTGAATGTTAACATATGATTATGTTTCTGTGATTCCAAGATAGATGACATATACATACATATATATATGTACAGTTTTTATTCATTCAAGTCTTTCATCACTAGCTGGGAGGTATAAAATTTGCATATTTAAACTTCATACATTGATCTGATTTCATCTAAATTTTACATTTTTTTCTGCAGATATTAATCATTTATATATAGCTTTATTTACTCACTGAATGCAAGGCATATGTGTGTATAGTTTATAAAGTACGCTTTGCTATTAGAAATTACTGTCTGTGATTCTGGAAATGGTAATGGAGGGAACATGCTGAAATAGTAATTGAAGTTTTGAAATGACTATCCACTGTGAGTCTGAACAAAGAATAGTTTTCATGTCTCACGGGTGCTTGGACAGAATAAATATGCTTTTTTCCAGACAGCAGCATAAATAGCAGTATCAGTGCACTGCACCTTTGAGAGGTTATTAATATAGCCGCTGTCTATGTATTGCATGGTTGGGCAATCAAGAAATGGTGATTTTAAAGGGACTGAAAGTTCACACAAATAGCAAATTATGAATTAAAAGAAAAAGAGCAATTCAGAAATTAATATTAATGGATTTTACATAAAGTCAGACAATAATTTTTATTCCCTAAATGGGATATGTATATGAGATATTTGCCAATTTATAGTTATGGAAACATTATTTCTTTGTTGAAAATGCAATAGATATCCAAAAGCTGGAGCTTATGCAAATAAGCAGACTTAAGCACTAAAATGATATATAGAATGTTTATTTTAGACGTTCATGACGTTCAAAGAAACAGAATTTCTATGAGAATTGACAATTTGTTAACTAGGAGACATTTAAGAGAGTTAATGTTGATTGATTTGACTAATTTTTTATTAATTTTCAATTAGTATTTATTTGGAAGGCCCTAAATAACCACTGTTTTTGTCTCTTACAGCATAAGGGCATGAACCACTTAAAGGAGTAATTGGAGGGATAATTAAAGAAAGGATTAGAAAGGAAGGCAAAAATATAAAAAAATACAAAAATACTGGGAACTGGGCTAAATCAGGGAGTTGCTTTTTTTTTTTTTTTGGTCATTCAATATTATTATTAGTTTCAGGTGTACAGCATAATGTTTAGATATTTATGTAACTTACAAAGTGATCTCCCCAATAATTTTTGCACCCACTTGACACCATATGTAGTTATTACAATATTATTGACTATATTTCCTAAGGTGTACATTACATCTCTGTGACTGTTTAGTAGCTGTCAATTTGTACTTCTTAATCCCTTCATCTTTTTCATCCAGCATCCTAAACTCCTCCCAACTGACAACCATCATTTTGTTCTTTGTATTTATGAGTTTGTTTCTGTTTTGTTTGTTCATTTATTTTATTTTTTAGATTTAGCTTATAAGTGAAATCATATTGTATTTGTCTTTCTCTGACTTATTTCACTTAGCATCATGCCCTCTAGGTCCATCCATGTTGTCTCAAATGGTAAGGTTTTATTTTTTTTGTGGCTGAATAATATTCCATCGTATTTATGTATGTGTGTATGTATGTATGTCACCTCTTCTTGATCCATTTGTCTTTTGATTGGAGTGTTAATTCATTTACATTTAAAGTAATTATTGATAGGCATATAGTTACTGCTATTTTATTGTTTTCTGATTGTTTTTATAGTTCTCTGTTCCTTTCTTACTCTCTTGTTCTTCTCTCTTGTATGTTGATGACTTTCTGTAGTGTTGTGTTTGTTGTGTGTAGTGTTGATTTTTGGTTTGTGGTTACCATGTGCTTCATATATACGAAACTATGTTTAGAGCAGTCTATTTTAAGGTGATGGTTGCTTTAAGTTTGAGCACATTCGAAAATCACTACAATTTTTCTCATCCCCTCCACATTTAGAATTTACATGAAACAATCCATATAAAATTACTTAGTATATGGGCTAAACACAGACAATGGGTAGAGGTGATGGTGGCAGTGGTGCTGCTCCTGCTGATAATAATTAACTCACCTCATTTACAAAATCATCCATGATTTGTCTCCTTCCAGTTGTTCAACTATACCAAAAGTTATGTGAGCATCTCAATACCGAACAGAATCACCATGCTAATTTTCATATATATCTGACCTGTCCTGAGTGAAAGCACACCTGAACGAGAGCACACACATATTTTGCCCACCTTTCAATGTCTTACTCAACTTTCATCTCCTCTAAAATTTCTTTGCTAACTTCTTCAATTTTCCTTTATCTCCTCCACCAAAACTACTTCACATTTACTGTCCTCATCACAGAATTTAGCATCGAATTCTCTTCCTTTTGACAGCAGTTCCCAATCATTTCATGGGCAGTAGATTTGCTCCTTCAACCAAAACCATCTCAGAAAGAACAAAATAATCAGTACTTCTAAAATGCTTGCATTTTCAGTGGATCTGTTTCAGCTATTGCCAAGAACAGAACAGTTACCAATGTGGCCTATCCATCTATTGCCTTTGATTAAATAGAAGGATCATAATTAGGTTAAATTCCTCTCTTCATATACAAAGTAAAAAAAAAAATGGATATACAATTGGTATAATAGATAATTGTTAACTAAACCTAAGAGCTATGACCCTCATTAACCAGTATTTATTAAGAGATTTGGGGTTATAGTTTTCTAAATTCTTTCACATATAAAGTCCTATTCATATTTCATTCTTCTTCATAATGTTTTGCCCAGTGATCATTATGCCCGTATTTTTGTTC